AAAGCAAACTTCCTACACTACAGCTGCACTTTCCAAAAGGTAACATGAGCAATACTGGACCAAACAATACTTATGCCTGCAGTGTATAAGTGATTTGCAGGGGACATTTTAAAGTGCCATAAAATTATTGATACGTAGCAGGTTCTGGTTATTATAAAAGGCTGAAAATAATCTCAGAGAGGATAAGAAAACGTATCAGGCAATTTTAGCTTCTTGATTCCATTCTCCCCACTATTTTAGAACCTAATTTTGCTATTTAATATGTAAATGTGCCTCAACACTTCTCAAAAACTTCCATCATGCCTGTGATGTTTGTGAAACCTGGGGCCACGCCTTTCATCACGACCAAACATCTCTGGAAATTCTCCTCCACTGTATTCCTTCACTTCCATGCTCTATTGGCATATCTGCACTACTCCATTCGTACGGTTGTCTTCAGGACTAAGCAAGCCAAAGGGGCACATGCTTCAGTTGTCCTCTTTCTCACACCCTTTGTGGGTTTTGAAAACACTAATTACTACTTTGAAAATGAATCCTCCTTTGCTATATGGAGTGCTGACTTTCCTACTTTGCTGTCGTCGTGTTGGCTTTGTTGGTGAGCACGCATTTTGTTGCCCCATTTACTGTGCAGGGCTTGTGGCACAAGGGCTTTTCCCATATGCATTATAACTTCATTCTTTTGGCACTTACGCTCATTAACTTTATTGTTTTCCATGGCTCTAACTGTCCCTGATGTGTTACATTTATGTCTCCACAGCAGAGTTTCTAATTTCTAACTGAACCTTCAGAACAAACCTTTTCTTTTTCAGTCTCGTGGTGGCCAAAACAGAAATTCAGTCTCACCCCAACCTTGCACTTCATTCCATGCAACTAAATACGCTTTCTTCTTGAACTCAAGTATGTCTTCTCCAAAAATGAATAGTTTCATGGGACATTTTTTGCAAAGTTTTAGAAAACACAGTTCTCAGTTCCTTTTGTGTTAGTAGTAAAATCTGATAAAATTAGCTGAATCTCACAAGTGATATGAAGAACAAATGTGTCCTGGTTATGGGTATAATTAGAAATTCCAAGCTGAAGATTAGCAAATTTAAAAGTAGTATCACAGTCAATTTATGGTTTATTCAGGAATGTAACAAGAAGAAACCATGACACATAAATAGATGCTTATTACCATTATTGCTAATGTCCAAAATTCATTCTGTGAAAATACTTGAAACTTATATCTGATTTAGAATTAAAGGTCAGGAAATTATTCTAGATTTCTTTCCTGAAAGGGTGGATTAATCTTCTTTTACACTTATTTTACAATAAAATGGGCTTAGAGTTCCTTTAATCTCTAGTTAAAATAGTGTCTCATTTTTTCTTCTCATAACACATTGAATTTTTAAATGAGACATTTAACATCATTTTCTCCTCTCATATAAAATCACTTTAAAAGCATGCATTGCGCCGGGCGGTGGTGGCGCACGCCTTTAATCCCAGCACTCGGGAGGCAGAGCCAGGCGAATCTCTGTGAGTTCGAGGCCAGCCTGGGCTACCAAGTGAGTTCCAGGAAAAGGCGCAAAGCTACGCAGAGAAACCCTGTCTTGAAAAAA